GGACAAGAAAATTTGAGTGGACACAAATAAACATTTAAAAACATTATTACACACATACATAGAAAATATTTTTAAAAAAAAATTAGGGTGAGTTTGTGCCCCTAGTCTACTGCTGGCTCTGCCAATCCATATCAACCATCTCAGATGGACCATGGTGTAATCGTTATCCTCATGGTTGTTGAGTAAGTGGGCCTACTAGTCATATGGTTTCAAGTATTCTTTGTATTCCCACAGAGAGACATTGTTGCCATTACTTGGTCATCAACAATCGTAAGCCCATCTCGGTGAAAAGATTGATATTATCAGTTGATTGAACAATTAGTCAATAAATAAGATTGGATAGTTGTTCTTGACAGTCACTTTATTAAGGACCTAGTAATCTACGTAAAATCGTAAAGATCCATCTTTCTTTGAACAGTCGCATTAAAGTACTATTTCATGTCTCAGAGGTCTTCGAGCCTTTGTCAAATCCCATTAAATGATTGTAGTTCTAGGACTCCAATGCATCTGAATTTATATTTAATTTTAGATTGACATCAGGTCACATTCAATATTTGAAGTCACTCCTCCATTCATTGTTAATAAGTAATTCAGTAATTTGCTTTTTGAGTTTTTGACCCATAAAAAGAGAATGAAATTTATGATTTACTGGTGCGATGGGGTTATTATAGTTTTTAGGTCTAGTCTAGGGACACCATGCAGTAAGAGAGCCAGTTTCCCTGGCTTTCATTAGTTGGTAATGTTGAAGCATATGTAGGAAATTTTTTATAGGGTTTTTTGCACTCTGAAAGATGTCATAATTTTTACTTTATAACTCAAAAAATTATTTTTTTTACATTGCAATTTGAATGTCACAAATTAGTTCCAATATATCTCTCGGACTAACATCCATTTCAGATTTCGTTAAAAATCGATACACTTGTCACGCACATATGTTGTTATTGAACAAAAATATAAACTCGTAATTTATATTCTTTGGTGGCATATGAATTATTTTTTAACAGAATTTAAAACAGATATTAGTTCGAGAGTCAGATTGAAACTAATTTATGACATTCAAGGGTTCAATGTAGAAAAAATAATTTTTTAGGGTATAAAGTGAGAATCGAGATATTTTTTAAGATACAAACTGCAAAAATCCCTTTTTTATATCTAAACCCGAGAATTATTATAGTTGCTCTTCTTTTTTAACTAATGAATTTTATGTAAGCTTAGAATATATGCAATTATTTTATATTAATTTATTATTTTTAACCATCATATTTGCAAAAATGTTATATAGAGCATATCAAGCCCTTTGATGCAGAAGGAGAGGACTCGGTGATTCACAAAATTCTGAGTCGTGTTATATTTAATTTTGTACATCACATGGTTTCTGTGTTAAAATTTACTTAATTCATATTTGTATTAAGTAAAAAAAAATTAATAATAAACATATTTGTATTTACTTCAAAATTAAATTACAAAGATAAATGATAGAGATATAAATTTAATACCGGTTTTAGTGAGGATGATCGGTGGTAGTGGTGGTGAGAGATGGTTATAGTTGTGATGGGTGACGACGACCGATTGTGATGGTAACAACCGTGGTGGTAAGGTAGCGGTTGCGGCGGCGACGATAGTGGTGTTGGAGTAGTGGTGGTTGTTATGAAAAAAATGGTGGTGGTGTTGATGGTGATGGGGCGATAGAGGAAATGGTTGGGTGACAATAGTAATGGTGATTGTGGTGGTGGGACGATGAGGGTAGTGGTGAGGCGGTGGGTGTGGTGGTGGTGGTTGTTGTGGCAGAGGTGGTAGTGAGGCGATGGGGGGTAGAGGTGGTGGTGGTAGTGGTGATGGCGACAAGTAGGGGTGTCAAACGTGTTAGGTTAAACGGGTGACGGGTGAAAAACATATAAACTCATACCAACTCGTTTAATAAACGAGTGAAAAAACTCAATACGAACACGAACCGTTTAATAAACGGGTAACACGACACGCTCGTTTAACCTTTTAATTTTCATAAAATTATTCTATTAAAGTTTTAATCCACACTAAAAAATTATTCTATTAAAATTTTAAACTCCATTAATTATCCACTTGGTTAGCGCTTGCAAAGGCAAGTGAGAAAGTTGAATTACTAAAGAAAGGGGTAGCAATTTTTTATAGGCACGGGGAGGTCTCCTTCTTTGAATTTGTCGACGTGGGATTCAAGTGAAAATGTTTTACTATGCATTTATTATGTAGACCCACAAGAAGACCATGTAACTTGTCTCATATCTAGCACTGCAATGCTCACTGTGCAGACCCACAAGAAGACCTTGTAACCTGTCCTACATCGAGCATTGCAATGCAATGGGGTAAAAGAATAATTTGTACTTAATTGCCATTAGAGTGCCAATCTCTCATCCACTCAGCAACTTGGTTTCTTTTTTGCATATGTATATAATATTTTAATTCTGATTATTTTTTTTAAAATAAAATAATTATTAATTTATTATTATATTAATTTTTTTTAAACGGGTTGATAGGTCTCACCCGAACACGACCCGTTTATTAAACATGTTTAACGGGTCAACCTGTTTATCACTCGAACCCGTTAAGGTCTCACCTAAACTCGTTTAATTCGTGTCGGTTAATTGTGTCGTGTCTAATTTTGACAAGCCTAGCGGTCGGGCAGTTGGGGGGTAGTTGTGGTGGTGAATCAGTTTCAAACCCTAATTTTTTTTAAAGTACTTATGAAAAGTTATAAATCCTATAAACACTTTTAAAAACTTATTCCAGACACACCTTGACGAGCTTATTTTTCCTATTAAATTTAGGGTATTAATATAAATTATTAGATTAATTATAAAGTAAAATTTAAGGAGATTTCAATCACGAAAAGTAAAAGTTATATATATATATATATATATATATATATATATATATATATATATATATATATATATATATATATAAAATACAATACAATTCAAATTTTAAAAGATAAATCAAATTACTTTTGCTATTCGCAGTTGAGATATTTTTAAATTTTACTTTAAAATTAATCCGACGACTAATATTAACACTTCAAATTTAATAGGAAAAACAAGCCATTAAGGGTGTGTTTTGAATGACTTTTTAAAAATAATTTTATATCTTATTTCTCGCAAGTATTTAAAAAAAAAAATAAGTGTTTGAAACCGCCCCACTACCACCACTACCCCTACCGCCCCACCACCACCACTACCGCCCCAATTACCCCCACCACCCAACCACCACATCACCATCACCACTACCACCACAATTACCCCGCCACCCCCACCGTCGTCGCCATCAACACTATCGCCACTCTACCACACCCACCACCCAATCATCACCATCACTATCACCACCCACCACTATCCCACCACCATCACTAGTACCATCACCGCCCCACCACCTCCACTGCCCCACCACCACCACTATCCCCACTACCACCACTACCCCTATCCTCACCACCACTACCACCACCTCCACCTCCACCGCCCCACCACCATCATCCCCATAACCACCACCACTGTTGTCACACCCTAGCTTCATTGCCGTCCCACCACTACCATTGTCACTAACACACTATCACCGCTATCGGCATCACCACAGCCACCGACCTCTGTCGTTACCACTACTGCCACTACCCCACTTACCCCTTTGTCATCACCACCTACCACCAATTGTTATCACCCCACCATCCATTACCATAATCATTTTATTTTTATAATTATTACCATTACCACTATCATCCCACACCCACTGTCATCACCCACCACCACCGTTGTTTCCCATTATCACCTACTACCACAACTCACCACCACCCGTCGTCGCTCACCATCTTCACCAATTGCTGTCACCCACCCCCACCACACCTACCACCTATCATCGCCCATCACTACAGCCACCCACTACCACCATTGTCACCGTCCATCACTATCGTTGTTGTCCCACCACCACCACTGTCAACTACCATCACATTGTCCTCCACCACTACTATCACCGTTGCCACTCACGGCTGCCACCAACACAGTTGTCACCATCTACCACAACTACCATCGTCTCCCATCATCATCACTACCATTCACCACCACTACCACCGCTCACCTTTACTACAATCGGTGCTTAAATTCATTTCTTTCTCCTCTATATTTGTGATTTGATTTTGGGTGTGAAATACAAATATATTTATTGTTGACTATTTTTTTATTATTGAAGGCACAAGGATTAATATATATATATATATATATATATATTGCTTCAACGGTCAAGATGTTCGAATTAGTTTATGTACACTTCGATTAATTTTTTCTTAAATCCAATTAAAAGCAGGTCATCCATATCGAACTTAAGATATTTATGAAAGAGAAATTCCTCATGACCCTAACCCCAAAAAATTACTATAATTTGAAGTCATAATATCTAAATTTATAATTTATCTTTACTACTACTAGTATTACTCCGTTGGGGTTACCTAACTCATATTCAACCTGTTTATGTTTACGTATGCCATCAAATTCTTCTAAAATTTGGTTGAATCCTTATCAAATCAATCCAATTATTGATGGTTTTGATATGTTTAATTAATTACGACCTAAATCAGTTCAGATAATCGTGAGATTTTTCGAACTGGAGTGACACCCAGACAAGTTAGTGTTACTGATTTGGACATTTAAAACCCTATAGCAGTCTACTCCTCAAGTCAAAATTCTTGATTTGGGGTCTGTGAGAGTTGGAACAGTGATTCTAACAGGAAATTTTGGAGGTAATTACCAGAAACTAGGGTTTACTGCAAGTTAATTAAATTTTCAATAACTGCATTGAATGTTCTAAATGTGAAACCCTTTAGCTGAATTAATTGTTACATACCCATGCTTATTGATTATGTGTTAAATTTAGTGTGAGAAACTCTGGATAATTGGTACTGACAATATTCTAGGGTATAACACCAATGAAAAATTGGTGTTTTGTTTCTGCATAAAATCTATAACTCCATTGTTGATAATTGTCTCTTTCAATACCCTGGTGACAAGGGAAAGGGAAGGAAAACCCAGTGAAATGGAAAGAGAAATTCTTATTCAAAAGAATCAATTTTACACTCATGAATATTGTCTGAAAGAAAAGACCTTAGCTTATGCATGAATTCTTCATCAAAAGCCTACATCTTAAACAAGAGAGTCCTTGCTTGATTTCTTAACTTCTGCACTTTCTTTGTCTTGATGGCCCATGGTCTTCACAGCCAAAAGTGGTGTAGTATCTTTGTCTTTAATCTGAAACAACAATCACCAATTTTATCACCAGTTCGATTGAAAACATATTATTACGTGTAGGGAGGGAGACAAGGGGATTTTGGGAATTGGGTGTGTTCAGAGGTACCTGAGGCCCCACTGGAAGCTCGCCTAATTGCTTCTTCTTGTTCTCATTGGTGCAGAAGTAAGAATATAAGCCCATTCCGACAATGGCGATTAGTATCCCAAGGATGTTCCTCTCGGTGAAAGGGTCATGCAACAGTGTATAACCAAATGCAAGAACCAGGCATGTTTTCAAATGGCCAAGGACTTGATATGTAACAGGTGACGTCTTGCCAATAACTAGAAAGGTGCTAAAGTTGACAGAAACAGCAATCAAGCAGGAAAGGATTATGAATCCCTGCACATATTCACGATAATTCATGTATTTATATTGATGATATGCATGAGCATTCAACCATGAATTGCGAGCAGTGCTTGGAAAATAAAGACATTCATGAATATTAAGGTAGTACCAAGACAATTGGAGTATAGTTGTGTGAGAAGACATTTTGCTTGGTGAGGAACTGATCTACCGGAGGGCCTGAGACAAAAAGAATAGCTGCTTGAAATGGGGCTGACTGGTAGAGCAGCTGTGTGGATGACACATTGAGTCTCTTCTGTATTGTGTTTGTGAGCTGAATTGAGCATTTGGTTAAGAATGGACAACTGATTTCGAACAGAGTTAAACCTACTCTTATGCTAGCCATGTTTCAAGTTTCTACCTCAGTAATTCAGCCCACTAGAATTTCCGCCTTTCTGTGATGGAAAATTTATATTCATTACTGTGCAGACCTAAATTCCACAGCTACCAAAATTGGGTTACCAAAATTGAGGATATGCTATTAACTTCTATAAGATTGTTTTGAGTGGCATCCATTGATGGACTCCCTTTTAAAACTGCATATTCTATATGATGGGATTGTTGGTCTTACTGATAAGTTTTTCAGGAGAAGATAATGTTAGTAAAAGGATACAATTTGACCAACGCAAGTTGTTACAATAGCTAGAAGAGAAAGTATTGTCCCGAGGAAATTGAGCTGAAGATCTGTTATAGAAGCAATCCCAACTCCAAGAAGTAGGAGGAGAAGGGAGAGCTTTATCTTCTGGCTGCAGAGATTAGGCAGTGAAACACATTAGTGATCTGTGAAATTCCACTTCAAAATGAAGTAGCTGAATTCACCCAAGTGTTTATAGTCCTTACCTGAATTGTTTTTTCAAGAAAACAGTTTCCAGTAGTACAGTGAAAGGTATGATTGCAAGTTTGGTCATCTGCAAGATAAACATTACAATATTGGTAATCTGCAAGATAAACATCACCCCAGTGCTACCTTGGTTCGTTCTTTGTTCGTGTTATATATGATTTTCTTCACATATTGAATGGGACTATCACAGGGAGTATTGTCATCATCAAGAACCATAGTGAACAACAGAAACTTGGTCATTTCAGTACTTCCCAAAACTATTCTTCTGGCTCACGACATGTGGTGATTCCTGTTTTCCTCGGTGACTCCATTGGTAATGATAGATTTGTATCTAGGAACCCAAAAAAACAACGCTGTTCATTTGCATTACTTTTGAAGCACATCCTTGCCTCTTGTTTTTCTCCTTTATGGTTTTCATGTCTAAGGATTAAAATTATGTATGGTGTGTTTGATCATTTGCTCATTATATCACCCTGCTGAGTCTAACATTTCTTTTTGTTTTTGGTAAGGAATATTTGGTTTACAAACCGAGTGGCAGAAGTATTGCAATCACTAACAAAGATTGGTTTTATGCTCTTGGGATGGGAAACAAAACCAGTTCTCTGGAAGAGACTCTTCAGCTTTTGTTCCAGCAACCCATTAAGCTGCCTTGCTACAGGCTCTAGGAAACTATTTAAGCTGAATCCTATTCATTGCTGCACATTTACTTGTATCGGCTATGACATTACCATAATTTGGGTTAAATTACGACTTAAAAAAGATTAGTTATCCCTCACTCAATAGGCTGAAAAAAGTTGAATGAATCCTAACGTTTACGAGTTGATACTATTGGAGGCCCAAGGCGACCAATATGAATGAGATCTTTTGTTTTTAAAAAATTATTTTAAAATTTTTATGTAAATTTTATTTTTTTTAGATGAAAATTTCTTATTACGTTTTTGTATTAAGTTTTGCTAGCATATCTTTTTTGATTGATATAGAATGAATAATTGGCTTAATATTTCTTAGACATTATCAAACTTACCAAGGATTTTTTTAATTTTAATTTTGAAAAACTTCTATTTATAGAACAATTTTTTGTAGAATGTTAATAATTATATTTTGTAGAAAGAATGCATTGGAAAAGAATTAAATATTTCTACATAATTAAGTATCTCAAGTAAGATTTTTTTTTTTTGTTTGTAAATTTTTTTTTAAGATATTTAAATCTTAAAATCAACCTAGACCATCAATAGCAAGAAAACTTTCATATTTAGTCTACACTCGAGATTAAGACAATATTTTTTAAATTGTTACCGTTTAATGAGTATAAGTTTTCGAATTAAATAGAAAATCAATAAATTCTTAAACTCAAATATTTATCTAGTAGATCTTGTTATTTCGTCCTTAATGTTTTTATTGGGACCTATGGGAGTAATTTGATGCATAATTGATTCTTTTAGCATTGACATTTTGTGATTTTTTTTTTTGCAAATGTTATTGTATAAAGTTAATGATTGAACTTTTTGGTCGGGGTTATCCCACATCGAATAACCTTTGGGTGTATGAGTAATATCTAATGTTTTCACCGGCCCTTACTCTGTTAGAGTAAGTGGTTAGTGTTTAATCAAAAAAAATAAAAAATGCGTCATTGAGGCGTTTGGTGGTCAGGCCTGGCCTCCCTCCTCTTTGAGACAGGTGTCTCTGGGGCCATGGTAATAATGTCTGGGTGGTGGGGGCTGAGGCTATCCCACATCGGATAGTCTTTGGGTGTGTGAGTAATATATAATGCCTTCACTGGCCCTTACTCTGTTAGTGTAATTGGTTAGTGTTTGATAAAAAAAAATAATAATAATAATTGGCCCAAAATAATTTAATCTTTCTTGTTTTAGGCTTTTGTGGGGCTTTTTTAAGGGCTTATTTCATGGATTGAAATTTTTGGCCTATGTCATACTAAGAGGCCAATGAAATTTGGGGGCCTCATTCAAAGATGGGGCCTAAAGCTTATGCTTCAATTGTTACACTCCGAGCCAGCCACCCCTGATCTTATCTGATTGAGTCGTGATCACTCTCGATTGAGCTGTAACTTCCGGTACAATATTAAAAAAGTAAACTTTCGAAATGGTATCTAAACTAACACTTGCTACCATAAACTTTAGCTTAGCTTTTTGATCAGTAGGGGTGTAGGGGGTCTAGCAAAAGCACATCAGAGCAAGGTTAGTCCAGTACTGTACCTGGTAGAAGCCAATGGAGTTAAATCCCAGGCTCAAGTTGAGAAATCCGATGGAAACACCATTTAGAATGCCAAAGAGCATCACAGTCTTCATGTCAATTGGTTTGTTCTCAAAGAAGTTTAGACGTTGTGCCACATGAAGTGTGCAATACGTTACCATCAGATGCCAACTAGTCAGTGTTGTAGCTGGAGAAAAACATCATTGAACATGAATATGTTCTAAGGATTTAAAAGAATCGTCTCAACCAGACATTTTTCGAGAATATAACTATAATGTAAATTCGAGATGTGCATTACCACCCGTCAAATAAAGAAAAACTTACCGAATGGGAAACCAAGATTGCTCATCAAGGCTTTGTTGCAGATGACAATGGACACTGATGACGCCACGGAAAGAAACAATGCACCCAGAACGCCCAACTGGAAGCCCGATATCTCTCCCATTTTTTATGATATTCTATTAAAAAAAATTCCCATAAACAAACAAAAATTTGATAATTAGATAATGTTGGCACATATTAGGTGGCCACAAATAAAGAAATTTGAAGAAATGAAGTTTATTGGAGCATCAGGTGATCCTAACACAGTATATAAGGCTCGTGATTCTGGCAATCCAATCTTTCGTGTGCAAGGCAGAAATCCCCAAAAAATGATTTTTCAAAAATAGGTGATAAAAAGATTGAATTACTATGCGTATCTTAGTGATCGTTACTTTTGATGATCATTTTTTTGGTTGATTTCTCTTGATAATCTATTGATCAGAAGCATCCAGCAGCACCAAGCCGGGCTCTTTAGGATAATTTAAAGAAGGTGGAAGTTTTTAAGGAACTTCACTCAGTCTCGTTGAAACAAAAATCAATTAAGGAAATTATGTATGTAAATTGTAGTATATTTACAACTGAATAATTACAGTAATATTGAAAATTACCTTCAATTAACGACTCTAGCTTAGAGTGTTAGGTGTCCTGAAGAATCAAAAACACCGACTATGATCTTCCCTGGCGCTAGAGAGAGAGAGAGAGAGAGAGATGTAGTAATGAGTTTTCAAGCAATGGCTCCTAAAACTGCATAAAGTTGACTTTGCTGGGCAAAGTACGACGATGGAGGCTACCGAGCACCAAGCGGCTGAGACTGGCCGAGAACGGTTTGAGGGAGGTTTGAGCGAGCACCGAGCGGCTAAGACTGGCCGAGAACGGTTTGAGGGAGGTTTGAGGGAGAGGGAAGGTTTAGAGAGAGAGCGAGAGAGGGTGGCTTGTCTGAGAATGTTGGAATTTGAACGCTTTTATTCATGACTCCAATGTGGTTGTTAGTCGTGACGTCGTTAGTTTTGGCTGTCCTTGGTTCTGTCTTGCAGTTGAACACTCTCAGTCTAACAAGGAAGTTAACGGCCAATATAAGCAATGGGTGACCTTAATTCCCCTTTGTTCCAAATAAAAATATTTAGAGTTATTATTTCACTCGCAAAATCCCCCTTTTTGACATTAACAATACCCGTCAACCAAATAGAAAATCAATACAACATTATGGGATTTGAGTTTCATTATAACGAGTTCGAATCATGACTTCTAATCATCAGTTCCGTCCTAACGAGTTCAATTTTAGTATGAATTGAACAAATTCTAATGTAATACAATTTAAATACAACATAACCCGGAATGGTGATGTCATAAGATGGAGGAAAATTACATGGGAGATGCATGGTCTAATTATATACAGCATAATAATATTAGTGTCTGTTTCTTTTTGCAATTTGGTATGACTTCGGGTGTTTTAGTCCAATGGTTTCATCTGAATTATCTATCATTTTGTCAACTGGTCACTTATATATAAAATATATATATATAATTAGAGTAGTCTTATCACACAAGCAAGGAAGGTGAGATGAATATTTCTCTTTACCTGCAAGGTCAAGCAAATTGTTATAGCGACCCACAAACCCAATTTTGTATGAGTTTGGTGAGAAAAAAAAACTTGAATCTCACTCCAAAGAAAAGACCATGCCTCTTCTAAAATCACAAGAGGGTTGATAATCTATAATGAAATTGGTTCAAGTGTTAAACAAGAAAACTTAAATAATTGCAATTTAATTATTTGGGGCAGTGATCAAAGTTTATACTCGTGATAATCAGCTCAAGTAAATTTCACTTTGCCCCTCTATTGTTAAATCAGATTACAATTTATCCCATCAGCTTTGTAAGTAGCCACAAAACTTTTATGTAGTTTGTGGACCAGAGTTTTTTTTTTTTTGGGCCCCCAGATTTCTAAGTGTGCGCTAACTATTCCGTCCAGCTCAGATAGTGGCCACCGTAGCCTGAGCAAGTTTAAAACATGTTTCTTAAGGAATAAATGTGATTAGTCTTTAAAGAGTATGAGAAGTATTAAACCTGAAACATTTGAGTTAGACTGGAACGAAATTGACGCATGTATTACGGGAACTAACTAACCAGGGGATCTACCAAGGCTTTCTCCACCGAAGAGAGGTATGTAAAGAGTGACATCCCAAAGTCTAAAGCAATTACATCCAAGCGGCAAGCAGACCTTACGAATTTTCAAACTCTCCTTCTTCGCAAACTCCAGAGTCGGATATTTATGATTTAGCTATGGATATCTTGACTCCTAACTCAAAAATCAAACTCAACCAATGAATCACCGATAATAATTATTTTGTGGACCAAAGTTATAAGAAAAAAAAAAAAAAAAAAAGGACATAAATCAAAACATATTCGCCGAAAAACCTGCCCACTAACTGATTTCTCTACTTCTAGTAATCCTCCGGTTAAAAAAATTGCAAGAAGAAAAAGGAGAGTGAGAGTCACGTCATTTCGCTAATGTTAGTCAAAGTTTGGTTGCATAATCTTTATAAAATCCGAATATTCTTGCATTCTGCACGTAAATTCATGCTCTTATTTTACAAATTCGACTAATACACACTCTTACTTATTTATATACTTACTTATTATTAATCAAATTTTTATTTGAAAAATAATGACCTAGACCTAAAAATACATATTAAACTAGAATAATATGTATAAACTACAATTATTATTTTAGGACTTTATAATCAGTATATATTTAAAAACTAAATAGTTTGTATCATAATTGTGTATAAAATTTTAATTTTTTATATTTTATTTATATTAAACTTTTATGACTAAATATATATCTATATATATATATATATATAATACGACGTTTTCAAGATAATTCTGCATTCAAATTTATATGAATGTTGACATTTTTACTATCCAAAAATTCAAAAAATTATCTTTCTCGAACTCCTTCAAAGATTCGTGTCAGATTGCCCTAATCTTTTATTTTGTAGAAGCATCAGATCCAAGGTAAGTCAACTTTTCATGTTTCTAAATTACAGATAATTTAGAGACTTTAAAAAATCATTCTTCTTTCTTATTAAATGGGAAGAAAAATATTATTTTCTAAAAAAATGGAAAATAAAGTAAATAAAGAGATTATAGTCTAAAAATGAATAGCCCAGTACACCTGTACATCAGACCTCGCCTCTGCATGACTGCTGACAGTCTACAAATCCTTTTTATACCCAGTTTTCGATTTCCTGTCCATGCAATATGTCATATATTTGAGTTGAATAATTCCAAGGTAGTAACAAAAACAAACTGTAAACTCAGACGTCATAAATTCAAATCTTGACAATCCATTGGAGCTAGAACATTAGAAATTTATCTCCCAGAAGTGCACGTAAACTGAACCTAACACCTCCAACCGTTGAACTAAAATATATATATATGTTTGAGTTGAATCAGTCTCCAAAACTGGAGTATGTTTGAGTTGAATCAGTCTCCAAAACTGGAGAACATAGCCACGGAACTCTCCCAGACCAAATGATATGTAGGACTAGGCACCTTATGCTCAATGAGATCGCATGAGATTATGATTCGCCTCCTGTTTAATAACTAAACCAACTTGGGGGCAAATATGTCACACACATGAAAAAAGAGTCAACTTTGAAACAGGCCACGATAACTCTGAAGGGTAATTTTTACTGCTGAAAATGATGGGCATTTGAAAGAAAGACAAAAAAAAAGGCAGGGGAAAGTACATAATAAATGAATCTAAACTCAATATATTTATGCACAAAAAGGTAAAATTCTCTTCCATTGTCTGGTGGTCAGTAACTACAGAATCTGTGGTTATCATCCCTACTGAATAGAATAAAACATCTCATCGAATAATCGGGCACTAAAATGCAGCAACCCAGGGTTGAAAGAATGGAAATGAAGAAGAAAAACATAGGGATGATATGCCTTATCTGTACAAGATGGGGCTGTGATCATCTCAAAATCAACCTCTTCCAATCTGCGCAAAATATGCCTTATCTGCATTTGTAAGGCGGTCTTGAAATTGAGCCCACTCACTTCTGCACCTCTCTCTTACCTGTAATCGGGGACAAAACATTCAAGCTAGTCAGTAAATGCTTATGCTTGCCTATTGAAGGAGTAACAAAAAATGTTATAATACATCTATTGCAAAGTAGCGAAGTTAGGAACCATTTCAAAACACAGAAGCTCAAAGGTGGTAAATGCACATACCCCTTGCCATGGAGATTTACCATTTTCAGATTGACCCTGAGACATTAAAGACAAAGCCAGAACATGCATCACACCTCGGCAAAATGGACAGAAATTGGTAAAGAAAATGTTGCTTACACCCACTTTGATTTCGCTACATAAAGCACTAGACAGAAAAATGCCAGGTATAATCATAATAATTCTCAAATTATGGGTGTCTCACCTGACTGCCAAGAGAAGGGATTACTTGATGAATAACCCATTGCGAATCCACCACACCGATTTTCTCATGTGCAGGCTGCAGAGGTAAAAAAAAAAAAAAGTTACAAGATTTTCCTACACTGAAGGTTGACATGCTATTCTTAGATATATTGAACTTTCAATGTGAAAAGGGTATAGGCCGATTGAAGCATCCTGGACATAATTTTACTCTTTAACATTATGTCGCATAAGGAAACTAGAGAAACCCAACAGTTCATATAAACTACTACAGTTCCACGATATTTCTGAGAAAAAAATGTCGGAGCTCAATCATAGTTTCATACGTCATTGGGGAAAAAAATTTTGGAGCTCAATCATAGTTTCATATGTCATTGGGGCATAAACCTGTAATCCATCTAAAAAGCACCAAAAAGTTTTGCAGACATGAGAGAATTAAGATGCATTTGAAATATGCAGGCTCAGAAGAGAGCAACTAAACATTAGGTGGCAAAAAGAGAAATACCAACCTCTACACATCTTCTGAGGGCAAAATCAAGACCCCATCCATGAACCAAATCATTCTACACGTAAATTATTAAAACCAGTAAGGTCAATATAGCTGAAAATAGACATATGAGAAGAAGCATCAAGCAAGTGGAGAGCACATAGACTGGGAAGACTCGACGCCTATGCTGTAGACATTTATGAATATGATCCTAACATCAGAAATATACCTGAATCATATGCCACACACACCGCCAAGCTTCCCGAGAAAATACAGGGGCCATAATTTCTACAAATCTGCAGACAATAAGTTGCAAGTCAAGTTGAGCATTCTAATTTAATGAGAAGCCAAAATAAATCAAGATCCACACATAAGATAAAGTACCTAGATTGTTGATGAGATATTCTTCACGCTTGCAAGTATTTAATTACAAAATTGCTAGCTAGATTTTCCTATATCTTGCAGGACTTGTATGGCATCAGTTTTAGTGATAGAAAACTGATAAAGTTCGGTTTTTAGACATTGAAGTTTCTCAAAAATTTAAAAAACAGCTAATCAAGAATGCCAATAAACACAATCGTTTCTCAGAAAAAAAAAATCATAAAACCCATATTTCTCATCTCTCTCAATATGATTCCAAAGTTTTGGCCTCCATCAAATGATCCACATCACCATACTCCCAAAAAGTTAAAAAAAGAAAAAGAAAAAACCAAAGACATTAATGATTTTGGGCTATTGTATGGAATGTAGAATGAACCTAAGAGATTTTATAATTCATAACCCTGTTTTTCTGCCTGTACTAGAACCTATTCTTTTGCATGTTCTGTTAGATAAACTACCATAGCTCACTTGTTGGCTAGAAGATTATACACTTTTGGCTTTCAATTTTCTGGTTTTTTAATTAAAATAATGGTGCGTAGAAAATATGATTGTAATGTGGATTGGATTTGATATGAAGCAAGAATTTTGACTCCATTTGCTTATTTTGTTGAATTGAATACATGTCTAGCACATTTATGTAATTTCTCAAAATACTTCCATAATAAACACAAACATGCTTTTAAGCGCATGTAAGACAAGTGAGAAAGGCTAGATTTTCTCATTAACTCGGACACATTTGGAGACGTTGGGAACTCATTCCAAATAGGCTGTGGACACTTTCAGGATATGCTGGAGATATGTTTTATCTCCCAAAGTGTAGATATGCTTAATTTATTTAAATAAATAAAAAAGAAGATAACACATTAGAACCTTGAGCTCTATAAAAAAGAAAAAAATAGGAAGATGTAACGAGAGAAAAAAAAGGGCAGTCCAATGCAGAAGACTACTGCTACAACGGGGTCTGGGTAGGATCTAGATGAGTATCCTTTCCTCTGCATATGGAGATACTAGCTCTGTAACTAGAAAGTGTAACGTGGAGGTCACAACAAAGCAAATTTACCCATGATGTCCAAGTCACAATAGAAAAATTCTATATCCCAGGACCAGAAACATCCAGCAAGAAATTGTTTCTGATTTTCCAGGACTACTCAAAGTCCTTATTCTTTTTCGTTAGAGTTTTTCTTTGATGATGATTGCATTACTTTGTTGTGTTGTTCTTGCAATAATATTGTCCAGTTAAGTAATGTTGAAAACATTAAATGACAGACTGATTACATACTCGACTATGATTTGAGTTTTTTGACAAGTGATCTTATTTAACCAATGTTATGCTTCTATTGTGACATACACACTGCATAGATATATTGAAGTGACATACACACTGTCCTTATCCTGCTTTGGAGAGATTTTAGGCCAAATGCATCCATGTCGTGTCCTATCTAAGTCCCATGCCTGTACCCATACCGTACTTCTTAGCATATTTCTTCACCACCATGCATGTGTCTCTATTATGTTTGAGATAGAGAGTGTGAGTGTGTGTGTGGGGAGAGGGAGAGGGAGAGAGAGAGAGAGAGGTGACATACGCAGCACAGGGAGGCAAATGTGGATCACTGCACCAGCCTGGTTTCTCATCTGTATCCCTGTTCACCAATCCAGACATAAAGTCAAAGTGTACCACCTATGAGATACTTTGGAAAAAATATATGGCAATAACCACAAGCATATCTCATTGTATGTGTGTGTGTGCATTAATAAATATATATATATATATATATATATATAATATATACGTATCTGTGTATATGTAGACAGAGAGAGAGTAACTACAATAGACCTACTTGTGAACTTCTCTGTCCCCTCTCCTCTTTGTCATTTGCCAAGTCAGTCCATTATTGGGTTCAAGCCCTGGTTGAGAAATCTCCAGACCATGTTTCCGAACTAGTTGAATATACCTGGAACATTCACATACCCAAGATAGAGGGGGGAAAATAAAGAGAAAAGAATCAAAATGAAGCAGCAGCCATAAACAAAAATGATGAAATAAGGGAAAAATTAAAAACCCCTACTTCTCAGCGTTGAAGTGTTCAACTCCAAGATCTTCATCCCAAATGAAAATGTAATCATATGCTGCTACAACATCAGGATGCAAAAACCTCTTTGCATACCACCTGGAAAGTAAACAAAAGACAAAAAAATTATGGATGTGAACACATAACACAAACTAACATGAACTGCCACACGACTAGAATACAGAAGTAGTCCTAATCTTGTAATGCATTGTCTCTAGATCCAGAAAAGGGTGCACAACATAAGCAGAAACTTTCTTTCTTGCTCCTTTTTCTCCTTGTAAAAGAGCTTCATCAGATCTCTGTTTTAGTAATTCATGCACCGAATACGCTATGGTAGTAGAAACTTGAAAAATAATAAAATCACGAATTGTCTTACCATTTTGTTTGTCTCCTTATACTGACATGAACTGCACGCTTTGACCACTCAAATTGATCCCATTCACTTGTCTGATTATCGTAATGAAAAAGCAAAATTTGAAAATCCTCAGAGAACTACAGAAAATATAACATTCCAAACCTTAGTATCCATGCAGCACCACATCATTTAAAAAACTTAGGAAATGGTCCAATTATATTACCTTTTTAACTGCTGCATCAATATTATTCTTCTGATCCAAACCAACAGTGAAAGTTACCAAGTACTTTGGCTTCTTTTTCAGATCCTGAAAGTTCCACACATTCCTAATAAAATAGGAGACTTCATAGAGCTAAACAACATGCTAAATCAATGGAAATTTCACGGCAGATAAAATCAAAAGGGATCTACCCAACCCCCAATCCAACCAAAAAAAAAAAAAGCCCCAAAAAAATTGCATAAACACACATCCTTAAATTTCCACCCATCTGAACATGAACACATAAGAAGAAACAAAACCTCATAGATTTAGACTTTTGTAATGTGCATCAAATAAAACTCACAAACTTATGCAGCTAATAAAATTTACAAACACTTAGAGCATCTCCTAGGCTTTCTATTCTTAAAACTCTGTTTTAGAGATCCAACCCCTAAAAATCCATCTCCAATTAGCTCTCTATTTAGACTTAGATAAAATAGAGAGTCCAATTTGACTCTCTACATTTGTATAGCCAAATTCATTCTCTACTCTATACTAATAAATGAAAAGATGACACATATACCTTTTTCATTAAATGTATTGACTATAGAGGCTCCTTTCTACTCGAATAGAGGGCCGTATTAACTTTTCATAAAAAAATTTCTCTATTTTAAAAAAGATGGTGTCCAAAATAGAGAGTACTATTGGAGATACTCTTAGACTGAATGCAAACCCTGACAAGTAGTTTGTCATTGCAGAGAATCTGAGATAACTGATAAGTTCGTAAGTACAAACACCACTGCCACAACAATTTTCTTAATGAACATTTTGAAATTATACCTCACTTGGTTCCCCCCATAATCTTCGTAAGTAAAAATCAGTTTCTGAGACTAAAATTCCTGGTGGTAATGACTCTGCACCCCGAGGATTTGTTGGAACATAAATCTGGAAGCCAAACAACCAATAATCAAATCATCAGTCCAAATCAAAATTGATGACATTCAGGTGGTGCCCAATGGAGCAGAAACTGACGTCAGTTTATAGAAAATTAAGTACCACATTGCCCAAGGTATTCCTGAAAAACTAAATCACAAGTAATATTGTAGTCACTATTAAATTTCTCTAGTTTGCATGGGCATGAATTTCGGTATGGTTTGTAAAAGCAGTTTGGAGTATGCAGAAGTGACAACGTAATATTTACTAACAAAGCTCATGGCAAAACTACAACACTATGAAAACAGAATCCGTCCCACATGCTCAGTGCTTGTAAAATGAATATTTGAGCTCCTATTATAGACAGAGCTGAAAAGGAAGTCCTTCTATTCTTTGCCCGGGAAAGAGTCCAATGGCTAAATATGTATGAATCCAAAAGTCCCAAAAAACTAAGTGTCAATCATGATAGTTGGAGATGTTATCACATCCCAAGAATTTGCTATACTGGGAAATAATAATCAAATACATCTTTCATCTCCAATAAGGACCAAAAGAAGTTTAAAGACTGATGGAAATGGTCTTATATTTCAGAAGGCTGAATAATTTAAACAAAGTACAAGGAGCAAGGAAAATTATCGAGACAATAACATTCCCCAATGCTAATGCCTTAAACCTAGCACATGTGATGGCTTCAACATTAAAATAAAACATGGAAACACAACTGGAAAAAGCAATGCAATCAGTGTTCCACGGGAGGAAAAAGCGTTGACAATGTATTGTAGCGCTAAGAATGAAATGCAGAATGTGGAAGGAAAAAACTATTATTTTTTTGATTGAAATTAGAAATGCATTCCTATGTAAAATTAGAAACTATAACATTTTATGTGATTGTACCATATACATTGGAGAAACAAATAATTATCATTTTATAAGAACTTCACTCCCATTAATAGTTGACAATTGGGATCCAATTAGGTCCAAACACTCATTGTTTTTCCAACAAAATAACAATTCTCTTCGCTGACAAATGACCCCATCTCATCTCAGCAGATAAATCAGAAAAAATGGTCATCAAAGTGGCCCATGAACACAAATTCCCACAAGAAGCAATATAAGCAAAGCAGAAAAACTAAATTGCCAAAGAAAAGTACCTTCGGTGTTGTAGGGGTGCTACCCGAACCAAGATTTTCGGGAAAGCTACGTCCAATATTTTTATGATGATCGTCGTAGAAGGCTGAGTCAAAAGATGACATAAGGCTTGAAGATAAGTTAATCTGCGAGATATCACAAAGAATCAAGAAAGGATAGTTGTTTAATGAAACACAAGTTTATCCAAAAATCATGCCAACATACCTTAGTAAGAGAAACCGTTGGAAATGAAACACCAACAAAATATCCAAACACCATCCCCATGACAGTTGCTATAATAAGCCTGGCACCACCATTTGATCTTTTGAAAACACCACTGCAATAGAAGAAAACTAACTAAGGTGGTTGTGTAGATTGGAACTTACTTTTCAGCAGCACGAGCAAACTTATAATAGTTAACAGGCAACTGTACGAGTTAATAATTTTTAGAGTACATCTTTACAAACCTTCGGCCCATCGCGGTATTAATTGCTCAACTCAAAAGGTCATGCACTAGGCACAAACCAATTCCATGATCCACTTTTGAAGCAAATATGGGATTCTCTAGTTTGAAGAAAGCAAAAGTTTTGTTCCCGAATGTATAATTCCTGTCCATCACAGTCACAAGACGATATTGTCATGCACTAACAATGCTTTATCAAGGTTTGATACATCATTTTCTCACAATTACATGGAAAATATGAAACAACTAACAAAAAGAAGTTATTTGCTTTTCCTACACTATATTACTTAGGAGTGAAACCAGTTTTTTTTCTCTTTTGGGCTGTGGACTGAAACTAGATGTTACCATGATTTTCTAGTATGAGTTAAATGTAATCGATTATATTTGAGTTGAATGTTCAATTTCGCCTTTCCTTCGTGGCTAGCCGAAAATTTGCCACATCGAAATACCATCAGTAAGATTACATAAACTCAACCCAAATTCTCACAACCCAAAATTCGTTTTGCTACAAGCAAACTACCCAAACTTAACTTCTTGATTTGTGACATATTGTGCCTAAAAATCAGGTTTAAAACACAGAAAGCTAAAATTGAAACCGATCAAATTAACAAACACACCTTAGGGAACGTAAATGCAAAACAATTTATATGTGTGTGTGTGTGTAATGTCACAATTTACAGTACCAGAACTTGGAACTTCAATGTGAAAAAAAAAAAACTAAGACCGCTAAAAATGACAGAAAATTTAGACGACTTTGAAACAATGAAGTCTTAAACAGAGCATAAACAATAACGAACGAAATCAATAAACAGAATTTAATATCCCTCACCAAATCGGTTCATATTTTTTGAAAAACCAATCGGCTAATTGGAAAAAAAAATAAGTAACCTATTGATCGAATCCTGCTAATGGATGATAAAACCTTCGGGAAAAAGTAGGGTTTCAAGCTTACAAGTCTCGTAGATTGCGAGCAAGAGAGAGAGAGAGACGTGCGAGATCGGTCTGAATGTAGAAATTTATTTTTCTTTTTTAATTTGCCATAATCCCAAACCCCCCACCAACCCCCTAAATTTATTTTTTCCTGGGATAATTTACAATTTATGCCCTTCAAGTTTGCATAATGTTTTAATTTGGTCCGTGAAGTTCTAATCACAACAATTAAGGCTTTAAAATTTTAATTGAGTTTCGATTTAATCCTCCATTCCAAATCTATTGGAGTTCTCAATTAGTGGTTATTAACTCTTGTTAATAGTCTTGGTTGCTCTTAGTTCTCTTTTCGATGTGTAATATATTTTAAATTAACTTAATCAATTTTGTTAATAATCTATTTTAATTATAGAACCAATCACACTGCTCTCTCTTTTCGGCAGATATATAGAATTGTCGGAATGAGTAGAGTAGCAGAGTGAAATGAGTTGTGATTATTGGAATGTGCGTTTAGTGTTTAGTTGATCTCCAATCTTTCAATTGTGTCTATTTTTATCCCTAAGGTTCCTGATTTGTATTTATGTTGTCCAATCTCAAACATCGATCAAAAAATCCTTAACTCATCTGATCACGTGTCAATCATGTGAGACCAATTAGACATAAATTATAAATTTTAGAGATCAAATATACACAGATTAAAAATTTTGAGGCCCAAATAGATACAAATTAAAATTTTTAGACACCAAATAGACACAAAATTATATCACACATGATTAGCGAGTAATCAGAATCATCACCATTTTTCGTCGAACGTTTGGGGAACCAAATAAACACAATTATAAGATTTAAGATCAAATAAATACTAAACGTATATTTTAGGGATTAAAAGTGTATTTTACCCCTTCTATTTTCAAGTGATATCCCAGGTTCTTTTTATAATGTTCAACAATGAGGACTATTCAAAACTTCATTGTCAAAATTGTTAGCGTTATTCTATTATTGAAATAAAGTTTATTGAAAATAATTGAAAAGATCTTCGACCCGAGAAAATATTCAATGCAACGATGATACCATATTAACATTATCGGACAATGTCATCGTTCAATACTAAAATTAACAAGTGGGTAAATAAAATGTACAAGATTTAGTAACAAATTTTTTTATTTTTTTTTTTTTTTTTTGGTTACAGTGTGTACAAACTTACATCAGCTACTCCATCGAGTTCAATAACTAACTAACGGAATTTGAGTTAGGTTAGAACATATCTAAGAACAAGGGTGGTTAGTTCCTAAGGGGTATAGAAAGAGATCGAATCTGAGATCTCTAAGTTACCAAATGACTTAAGCATTGATTTACCCCTAAGAATTTAGTAACTATTTCATTCATTTAAGGTATACCATGTAAAGAAGTGAGATTTATATTTTTCATTTGTAGATTTTTTACTAAATAATGATACCATTTGGTGATAGTTACGTGGTATTACCGTTGCGGTAAATATTTACTCCTTCAACTAAAGAGGGCATTCCTTATTTAGATCTATTCCTGAGGATTCTAGTGACATAAGGGTTTTAATATATCTTCTCAGCATACTTTTTTTTTTGTCCCCTTATGATAGATGGAGTGTAAAGGATGTATGATTTCATTGAATCGAAGAATTTAAAGAATGTGTGGTTGGAATGAATCTTCGTGACACAAAAAAAAAAGTAACATTGATGATCTATATATTGTTTGATTAGGTCCATAAATTATATCCGTAATTATTAAATTTTTTTATAATTATATCCGTAAATTAGATGCACAATATTAGGATCTATTGACAATCAAATAATTATAATTATTAAATTCATAAATTATGTCCCAATAGAATTGTTGATTTTATAATGTCCTTTAAACTTTTTCACCTGTCTGATCCGATCTGAACTGAGTCTTTCACATTTTTAATATGGTTTTAATCGGTGCCTTCTTTTCATTTCAAGCGTTAAACGAGACATTTATGGGCTTGAGATCTATGTCTATGTGCCATTATTATATAGGGTTAAATACATTAAGGTTCCTAAATTACAGAGTTTGCCTCATTTTGATATTTAATATTTTAATTGTATTATGTTGATTCTTGAAGTATTGAATGTTTCTATGTAATCCTTGAAACAGACAACATTCAAATTGTTAACGATTTTTTATGATAAATTTGTTACGTAATACTTAAATATTGACAAAAAATGTGTAATATAGGTAGTTCTTGAGTAAAATTTGGATAGTTCATGATCAAAACTGTATAATTTAGAAAGTTTTTGACCAAAAATTGATCAATAATTATCTAAATTATTTTTTTATTTATATTTAGATATTACGCGACAAGTATATCATAATTTCTTTTAACCATTTAGGCGTTGTCTGCTTGAGAGACCATATAAAACTATTAATTATTGTCTATGTTTGAAGGCACAAAATAATAAAAAAAATAGTAACACAATAGACATATTTGTATTTATATCCAAAATCAAATCACAAATATATAGTAGAGATAAATAAATTTAAGTATTGGTTGTAATATGAGTGAGAGGTGGTGAGCGGCAATGGTGGTGGCAATGGCGATGGTGGGGGTGGTGATAGTGGCAGCGACGGTGGCAATGACAATGGTGGTGGCGACGATGACAATTGTAGTGATGGTGGTGGGGGTGGCAGCGACGGCACCAAAATAAGACAAACTTTATAGACCTTGTAAAATTTAAGGGTGTTAATATTAGTCGTTAGATTTACTTTAAAGTAAAATTTAAAGCGATTTAAATCGCGAAAAACAAAAATATTTTGTTTATCTTTTGAAATTTGAATTGTAAGTTACTTTATTATATATATTCACAAAAATGATACAATTAAAATATTAGAAACCAAAATAAGACAAACTTTCTAGACCTTGTAATTATCTCTATTATTTTTTATTAGGGACAAAATAGACATATAAAGGTGCAATGACCGTGTCCCACACTGTTTCTTTTTATCTTAACACCAACTACTGTTCATTTCTTTATTTCAGAATCTGCCTTTCTATTCCATGTTTTTGTTGAATTTTTGTGGGTCGATGGGGGCAGGCCGTACACAACAGCCATGTGATGGACCGAAGGCCCACTCGGCCTCCAGTTCTTGGACTAGCCCATGGGATGCCGGTCCAATGCAAATCCATGAGTTGAAATAGAGATCAAAATTAACTTACTCTCAAACAAATTTTTTTGAGCATATTTAACTTGACAAAAAGGGATCGGCCATCAAAGGACCCATGATTCTTGATATTCATATGCCAGTCCAATCCCATTGGACTATTTGTATTTATATGGATTAGAATTCTGATTCATGGATCTCTCGATTTGAGAAATAAAAATAAGAAGAGCCAACCATTATTTTTAACATTTATTGATGAATATTTCATCACATAGTTCTATAATTCAGAGTATCATTTTCTATTTGGTCCCTTCGAATTCCATTCAAAGATTCTTTGAACTAAAAATTAAATAACCAAGAAGCAATAGGTGCTTTGTAAAATGGCAATTTTGTCATCAAGAACACCTATAGCATCTTTCATCTTAGTGTTATCCTTACCTGGTTGACAAGAGATGGCTAACAATGACTTAAATCTCACAATGAATGGCAATGACTAATCCAAAAAAACGTAACATTTTCAAATTTTTTTCGTTTCTTATTAGGTTGCAAGTGAGATGGAGGTTTAACAATTTGAGAAATAACGACATTTGTGAAACTTCGTAGATGAAGCCAACTGTCAGAGATTAGAAAATAAATAGGGTGAATGGTACTTTATTCTCAAAAAGATTGTATAATTTTCATTTACTTCTTCAAATATATACTGAATTTCTTGAAATGTTAACATTGTAGTCCTTTTACCCCTTTGCTTTGCCAATTTAGGTCTAAAATTGGAGACAAGGAAGGGATATTACTACTATTTAAAGAAATTTAAGGTGCATTGTGAAACTTAAAACTGATCTTTGAAAATACAAAGCAAAAACTGTTAAAAATTTTCAAGAGAAACAAACTCCCCCACTTGGGAAAATTAGGGGTTCTTCCAAAAATCTCCCCTTCCTTGCAAAGCCACAATCCTCTTCTCTCTCTCTCTCTCTCTCTCTCGAACAATACATGACCTTACCTTGTGATATCACATTTTGTGGGATAGCCTAATTGCTCCATCTCCCAGTTCAACTTTGAAGCAGCTCTTTCATGGCATGGAATGTAGTCCTGGGAAAGCCAAGCAGTGGAGTCTTTATTGATTTTTCACTCCTAACCAGTTGGTATTGTTGTTCACATACATTGGGGTTGGAAATTAGACAGTTATTTGCTTGTTCTTATGTTCATGTACCCAATTCAATGTTATATAAGCCTGATGAGAGATGGAAAGCATGGGTTATAGAATGGGAATTTCTAGGTAAATTCTATACATGCTTGAGACAAAGTTGTTTAAAATCTTAAATTTCAACATATTGTGAAGCAGAATTAATTATCATAACACGTTTACGTCACTTTACGTTAAGAAAACTAGGATAATTTCAAAATTAAGCTGAACTTCAAAAGATAGTTTAGTACACAAAATTCTTGTCATTACGAGATTTGGAGAGAAAAATATATGTATTTGGCCTTATCTCGTGTGCGGTAAAGTTGTTTTTGTGCCTCGAACTCATGACACTCATATTACATTAAAAAAATCTAACCACTATGTCAAGACATAACTTAATAAAAAATATTAAGTGGGGGTTAATGCTTTTAAAATAGTGAGGTTTAAACAATAATGTTTAGTTATCCCTTGAGCTAAGTATATCCCCAATTCAACTCGGGCACCTTCTACAAACCCTACTGCAGCCTCTAAATCCAATTATATGACATATTTAAGTAATAATAATAATAATAATAATTGGTCAAAATTCAAAAAAAAAAAAAATGCAAGGAAAAAAGGATGCAAGATGTGACCCAAAATGACAAGGAACTTCTGAAAACATAAGTGGGGTTTAGTCGGTAAACTCGTATCAACTACTTCATCTTAACTTTGAACCCAGTCTTTAAGCACAAGTGCACAAAGTTTTGTTGGGTTTCGCAACTAGCCAAGGCACTAGTGAAAGTTATTAAAGCTCATTAAATTGCATATTATAAATCCGGACAAGGTTACCTCCAATTTCTTGACTAAATCCCTCGCGGTAGGGGCTGATACAATGATATGGCGTGCACTCGGACTTACGAAACCTTCCTCCACTGCTTTGTCTATAAATGACAACAATGAGTTGTAGTACCCGTCCACATTCAGTAATCCCACCTTTATAACACATAAAATGACTATTATGTTATGTAATAAGACAGTTTAGTCGGGTTCAATTGAAAAATGATCATACAATTGAACACGATCGTACAACTACAAATGAACCGAGTTATTCATAAATAGTTTGAGATCGTGGAATGTTATTACCCTTCAAAATTTTAAAAATAAGAAATTACCGGTTTATCATGGATGCCAAGTTGAGCCCAAGCTATCACTTCAAGAAGCTCTTCAAGAGTCCCATAACCACCTTAATGTACACCACAAAGTTTTTGTAATCAGAATATGCAGCCAGTGCTATAAAGGCATTACAGGAAGACCCAAGCCTATAAAGTATTGGACCCCACCTTCATGTACAATAATAGCATTTCTTGTTAAAAATAGTGATTTGGACTTAACTTAGTGATCTAATGGTTGCAATAGATTAGATCAATAAACTATTCAGCATATTAGGGTCTAAATAATATTAATATTTCTTCTTATAACAATATTCCCATACACATATTGTTATTTTTTGGTGGGCTGCCCTTGCCGGTCCAGGCCCATGAGGTCATGTCTGGCACAAGTCTCTTAGGTCAATGTGAGAAGTTTTGGCCCGTTTGGTTTGCGTTTTAAAAAGATAGTATCAAAAAATTATTGGGGTTTAGGGAGGCTTGTCCCTCCCAAAAAGCTTAATAGTATAAAAGTATATTTTTTAAAATAATTAGGATATAAGTACATATGCTAAAAAAAGGTCATAAAAACCCTTTTACTCTTACCATAAATAGTGCATATCTAATTGGATGTGAGACTTTCAAGATTTTTTTTGATATTTGTGTAAAATTTGAATTTTAAAATTTCATATATATATATATATATACACACACGTAATACAGTGACATCAAACAGTTACACGCTCAACAAAAAAATAATAACATCAAACAGTGATACGCTTAACAAAAAAATAGTAACATCAAACAGTAATACACTCAATAAAAAAACAATAACATCAAACAGTAACACAAATTTTTTTGTTGAGCGTGTCACTGTTTAATGTCACTGTATTACATGTGTGTGTGTGTGTGTGTGTGTGTGTATATATATATATATATATATATATATTTTTAAAATTCAAATGATACACAAATATAAAAAAGAATCTTGAAAATCTCACATTCTAATCTTGAAAGTCTCACATTCAAGTAGGCATGCACTATTTATGGTAGGGGTAATTATGGAATACATTTTAGAAAGAATTTGAAAATATTTTAAAATGTGTACTTACTGACAACTATTTAATAAAAAAGAGGCCTTGTTTGGAGGTGGTACTTAAAGCCAAATAAGTTTTAAAAAAAGTACTCACATCCCATTATCTCAAAATTATTTTAGAGAAGAGTTTTAAAAAACTTTTTTTGATTTTTTTGTGCCGCAAAATTTATTTGGTTATATGACTCTAAAAACAATTGTACAGAATAGAAAACAGTAAAACTTGTTTGGATAATAACTCAAAAAATAATGAAAACAGAAATGTAATAGTGGTAGAAGTGTGGTGGTGGTGGTGGTGTTTTATAAATTTTGGGAAGGTTGTTTTCAAAAGTATACAAAATAGTTTTAACTTGTTCTCTAAAATCTATCCAATTTTTGTTATCAATTTTAATAAAAATAGAAAATAGCTGACCAAATAATTTTTCTCATAAAAACTATTTCCAAAAAGCGTAATACAAACCAAATATCCATTGTGTTTGTCCCTGTATTCTCGAAATTATTGCATACACACATGATAATGGAATAGAAATAGGGAAAAGAGAGTCTTGTGTTATCTAATATGCATGGTTTATAAGTAGTTATGGTTATGTAGACCTTGCATTGTAATCAGGAGTCCAATTGATACGTGTTTGGGACAATTGTTTGTTGCTAAAAGATAATCTTACTAAGAATTTTAAGGGGCATTGGGTGCATAAAAAGGAATTACATTCACTTCAATATATTTATTATTAAATTTGTATTCATTGGTGGATCACCAATCGTGAGTTCAAGTCCTTAACGATAAATGATGTGTTAAAAGTGATAATAGAGAAGGAAAAAAAGTATTAAAGAGAATCTGGATCCATAAATCCGAGATGTCATTGTAATATTTCCTTGATTCCTTCTTGGAAAATTGTTTATGCATGAATTAGGGGTGTCAATTTTTTCCGTTAACATGAACCCGACTCTAATTGAACCCGAAAATAACACGATTAGTTGACACAAGTATTAAACGGGTCAAATTAAGGTTCAACACAAATAACACGGTTAATGGGTACTGTAAATAAAAAATAATTATTTAACGAGTATTGTAGATAAAAAATAAAAATTTTATAATTTTTTAAATAGTATTATATTAGTTGTTATCAAATTAAATAATTTTAATACACTGACATACACTGATCCTATACAGGCCAAGAATCTTGGAGATGGGGGTGGAACCAACCAGGTAAGGCAATAAAGGCATCTGAATGTCTGGCCATCTCTGCCTTTCTCTGGTGCATACCTGCAACGGCCTTTACTTCTCCCACTGTTTCTCCAGTTATCTGCACCACACCACAGTCGGTACCAACATAAGTCAACACACCCATACAAATTAGAGAGACAGAAAGAGGCTTAAGTCAACAAGATAATACTGGCAGAATGGTGCTTTAGAGATGAGTCATTTTACACACACCAAATTTCTTATACCAAATCAATGAGAGCCTTTTTTTAATTTAGGAAATTAGGGGTCCCAATCAATGAGTTTTCATTTGTTTGTGGGTCCCACATTATTTGGTGCACAAAGGTTTTTTTTTTTCTTTTAGAGGTCGAAAGATCCAAAGAAAAGCACAAGCCAGATGTACTAAAAGGCATGGCTGCAGCCTAAGGTTGAGGTTTTTTTTTTTTTTTTGGTGATTCTAATGCGTCTATTGATATATATGTTCAAAAATAATTTGTAAACTTTAATTCTAAGAATTTTCCTTATTAAAAAAAGAAAAAAAATTGAAAAACAAATTAAAAGGGAAAAATAGAAAAATGGGATAAGTTTCAGAACCAATCAAAATCCTTCAACATGGTACCTTTACAATCTCCCAATAGAGACAAGTCTGAAGGCATCTCCAAGATAACACAGGTGAGGTAGAAATCCAAGTAAAAGTGGCCACCACAACACGAAAATGATTCCCCAATCGAGCTTTGCAAGTTCGATCTAAGTTAGTCGAGCTCGATTTTTAAATAAATTTTAAAAATTGTTTACGCTTTCCTCTTCTAAAAAACGATTAGTTTGAATAATTTACTATTTTACATATTAAATGAGCCGAGTTTAAAGTTTAAGTTCAACTAATTTTAAACTTGAATGGTTCAGTTCGATTATCAACGCTATTGTCATAAAATAGTAAAAGGAAAAAAAAAAGTGGATAATGCGCTCTCTCTCACACACACACTGATATTCATTACATTTGCAGTCATTTTTTAGTTGAGAACAAGAAATTTGAAATATGATGGGGGTAACTGGCATACCTCTCTAGGCATGAGTGTCTTGGGGATAACTCTGAATACAAGAACATGGCAAAAATTAGTTATGATCGAGACCAAAACCCAACTGATAAACTGATCAAAGTCGCCAATAAAATATGTTTTCAATTCATTGACTCAAACACAGTGAGTGTATTACAGACAGATTCATGAAAGAGGAAGCTTACCCGATGACATGGCGACCACCATTGTAAACAGCTTGAGAGACCAAACCCATCAAACCAATGCTCCCTCCCCCATAAACCAGGTCTATTTTCCTTGATACCTTCAGCATGCAAGCCATGTAATATTAATCCAGACAGCAAAAATGGTGTATATGTATGCATATATATATATATATATAGAGAGAGAGAGAGAGAGAGAGAGAGAGGACCCCTCAAAGTTCAAGTCACTACTTTATATGGGAAAAGAAAGATTGAAGTGGGATGATAAGGTCAGAGAAAAACTTGAAAGATTGAGTAAAATAAAAGCCAAATTCAAGCTGTAAATATATTTTGGAAGGAACGTTAAAAACAGGGGGAAAACAGAGCATAGAAGAGGGAAAAGAAAAAAACAGATAGCATAACTATACCAGTTCCTTCCCAAGCTCTATAGCAGCATCCTTATAACTTCCCTTCTTTCCTGGGCTGCTTCCACAGAACACACAAATTCTATTGAATTTAGATTGCTTCATTTCCATATCTCTATCCATCTCTCTCTCTCTCCCTCTCTCTCTCTCTCTCTCTCCTGTGTAGGTGTATCTATCTGTTGCCTAGTGCTCTTGTAAAACACCCACCTTCTCTCTCTCTCTCTCTCTCTCTCTGGGGAGAACTATGACTATGCAACTAGCAGGTGCCCAGTACCTCCACAACTTCACAAACTTTTGGGATGTAACTTCAGTGTCAATTGGGTCTTGGTAGTGGAATATGCATATATGATATATATAACGGTTTCACAGCCTCTAGCGTCTACGTCTTTATAGTCTGAGCCCAGACGGTCCCTATGTGCCTCAACATCTCGAATTTAATGGAAAAATTGGGGTATTGAAAGGTAATGTGTTTTGGATACTTTCACCAACACTTCTGAATTTAAATCATATTTCAGTAACACCTCTGATTTTTGAAATATCACTGTATATCCCAATCAATTTTATTTTTTTTGTTAATAAACCTAACAAAATACATAATTTTACTAAATTACCTTTACTAGAACTCCCATTTTACTTAATTATCTTTACTCAAATTAATAAAAATTAATTTATAATTTTATCAAATTAACATCTAATTGACATTTAATTATGTTTGATTAACATTCAGTACTGAAAAAAACAACGAAGAAGACTACAGTGGTAATAAACAAAATTCAGTACTATACCTTTAAATTTTACAATTTTTATAGATTTTTTAAAATTATTTTTGTAAGTTATTTTACAACCAAAAAATTTATAACTTTTTTTAAGTGATTTACAACTTTTGTGTGTTTTTTATCACTTTTTGTGGAAATTTACATCAATCATAACATTTTAGGATCAATCGTACAGTACCATAAAAAAAATAAAAATATGCACAAAAATTTTATAAACAACACCCACGAAACCTATAAATAAATAAAATATATAAAAATATTTTTTTCGTGCCCTACACTACTCCTAAAAACTACATAGCCTACAAAGGATAAACTAGAGCTAAATCTAAATCCCTAAGCTACTTGTACATGGTCCATAGAAAATATTCATTAAAACGGTTATACCACGTGATAAAGTGACGTAGTATCACTAATTAATAATACTAAAATAAATAAGTAGATGGATCCCACAAAACTTCTCACCCTTTTATCATACGGGTCTCAATAAATGCTAGGATCCATAGTAAAATTAATAGTTATAATTATCAAATTTAATTTTTAAGTCCATATAACATTGTTCATTAGAAATATGTCATAAAGGCCTTTCATTTATCTTTTATCTTTTCTTCGTTTCAATGGTTATGGGTGTTCGAATTAGGTAATGCACGTTTGATTAATTCTCTTATTGGTTTGGTCAAAGAAATGTCATCTATGCCGGAATTAGAATATTCATTAAAAATAAATTTCTTATGGTCTGATCACATGATAATATTAGAATTCAAATTCAAAATATTTAAATTTACACTTGTTTGGAACTACCTTGGATTTTAGAGAATTTTTTTTTAAACATAAAGGATAAGGAATAAGCAGAAAGATCAACACCAACCAACACCAAGTGCAAAAAAGGCCTCTGGACTCCAAGTAACACCCGAATTCATATGCTTTTATTGGTCAAACACAAACATAATCATGACAAGTTGTTTTGCATTTTCGTAGTGGTGGTGACAACTACAGTGCAACTTCTTGTTGCTCTCTCTCTCTCTCTCTCGGTAGTGGTGGTGGTGGCAACTGCACTGCTAGTGATTGTTCTCTCTCTCTCTCTCTCTCTCTCGTTTTGATCCTGTTTCCTTCTTATTACTGTGATGTATTTGGACCTTGAAGTAAGCAAAAAAAAATTGCAATTTTAGCTGTTAATTCTAAGAGTTGGATGGATTTAAAATAAGGATTCATCTATTTAAAAAAAGAGTTAGGTATGAAAATTAATCTCTTTACAATAAGTTTTAGACATTTTTTATTTTTACTTTTTCTAAACTCCACTAATAAAAATCTTGTATACTAAATACGACTTCTTGTTGGATTATATCTTAAATGTTAAAAATTGTGAGGGGACGGGTGAAGAAGAAAAAAGAATATATTAATAGGAAATTTGTGGAATTTGGCACTTTATAGATGGTGGGTGGGTGGGTGTGTGTGTGTGTGTGGATGGGTGGGGGAGGATTTGCTTAAGTCAATGCACATATTTGTGGAATTCCTACTCAGATATAACTACTCCACTTTTCATTGCATTATCTATAAACCCTAATAATAAGCTCGTTCGAAATCTATATAATGAAGTAAAACAAAGTTTGAATTCAAAAGACAAAGAAAAGTTTAGATCATTTTGAGGTAAAATATAAACACATTCAACGAACAACGTAATCCCAACATAAAAGACGGTTCAGATCATCTCAAAAATTTTGATCTAACTGTCTACAGTTAGTCTTGAATTTCTTTTCTTGCCCATGAAGAAGCCTCTTATCGTAAGACTCTACACTCTTATCTCTCATATGTCTCTATATTAAATTTTAAAAAGTACAATAACAACTCATATTGAATTCATTTTAAATTAAATGATCTAAATGTTATATGTTAAAAGTGTATTATTTGTATCTTGATTTAGGTTGATTTTGTTTAATTTCTAATTTTAAGATAAAACTTTGCATAACATTAAAAATATTTCTATTAAACACACATAAAATACATTATATCTCTAAGTTTAGAGTTTCTTTGTCAAAATTTGACAGTTTAACATTTGATCCCAATAATAGCATACACACCGTCACTGCAACACAAAAATCAATATCCAAATGGACAATATCACCATTTTTTGACATGTAAGTTATTTAGCATAGAAATTTTTTCAAAGCCTTTGGTATAGTATTTCATTAAAAACCATTATATTCTTACTATACAATTTTTCATCATTTTATTACAAACTGATTCATACCTAAAGTACATTGTAAGTAGATCTTCTTATCACGCATCTTAGTACCGATGGTTGATGTTTACTCCTTATTTTTTATCAATCAATAAAGTTTAAATTATCTTTATAATTCATAAATAAAATCATCAATTTATTATTCATACAAAAAATAAATCACTATTATATGAAAACATATAGTTCTCAAAAAATTAAAAAAAAATTCAAAACCCAAGTTCATCAACAATTAAAAAAAAAATAAAGTGATCAATACAAAAAAATACGATACCAATTGTACCAACAAAAAATGTTCAAAACCAATCTACTCGCTATGTGTTGAAATTATTCAAACATCTTATCTTTGTGTGTTAAAATTTTATAAGTAACATAGTGTATTTAGGCACGGGCAATGAATAGTAACTTTATAAAAATCAACACTTATTAAACCGCCAGGAAAGGGGTAATACTACACTCTAAAATAAATAAATAAATAATTCTAAGAGATAATTTAAGTGATAATAAGAACGAATTGTAAACTCAGACATCTTGGGTTCAAATCTTAGTAACTCTTTGGGGTCAGATCATGAACGATTTATTCTTCATGAATATTCTAGTCCCGACGTAGTTGACAGGTCTTTAACCGTATCGGGTAGAAAATTAGTCGACGTGCACGTAAACTGACCCAAATATCCTAACCGTTGAACTAAAATAAAACAATTAATGTAATTTTGATATATTGAGAAAACTTTGAATTTTAAACTGTAAAAATGAGAACACAAAATACCATAATACCAACGCTATATTCTCTGGACTTTATTATTTTGTCACATTTTCTGGTCAATCTAACATTATCCACCCAAAAAAGCAAGTTGGTGACTTTTGTCCCAACTTTTATGGCGTATGCCCAAGGTAAATCCATTGTATTTGACTTAATTTCAACTTGAAGTTTTACTTGATTTGTAATGCCATGAGGAGTATGCATTTTTTGCTGAAAAAACAAAATGAAAATGGAGTTGGTGACATTCACCTTCCAAAACAATGACGCTAGTGAAGAGATCTAAACGTCAATTCATTAATAGAGATACTGTCCCACTGATCACCAATGATAATGAGGGAAATCGAACACGGGTGCTCGTACTAAAATTGATTTTTCATTGTGTTATTGTTTGTACTTCTCACTAGAATGCTTGCACCGTTGTCAAGTATAAACATGCATATATATTAGCCAAGTTAGGTCATTTTTCATACAATGAGATCTAGTTTTTTTTTTTTTTTTTTTTGAACCATGGATAGAAATGGTCCGCCTGATATGTACACAGCTCCAACGTTAAAGTTTGGAAAAAACAAGGAATTTTTTTCGTATACTTGACAAGAATTACTTGGAATATTCGGTTTGGTGAAGGATTTCTTTCGGTGGGAAAATTAAAGGGTTACATTTGAGGCCCTATTGATAAAGACTTATGTCCCCCCTATGAAGTTTTTTTTTCTTTCTTTTAAGAGCAAATTGAATGTTTTTGCATACACTCAAAATATTTCAGGCTGACATATTAATTCTAGAAAAAAATCTGTGAACTTGACTCGAAATAGCAGGTTTAAATTTAGACTCTTAGTAAGTTCGTGTGATGAATGAATAGACTTTTTAGACCCGTCAAATAAACAAGTTGATACGAATCTACTAAACACGGTTTAAAGTAAAGAAAAACTTGATGCAACACAAAATGGTTATACACAATAAATTAAGGAATCGATTATCGATTAAATTTTTTTTGTTACAACATAACATGATCCATTACCAATGAAAATCTTGAGCAACATGAAAATGTATACCTAGGACAAGATTCAACAGTTCCTCTGACAAGAGAAATTACTAGTTTGTCCTCGGTGAATAGAGGTGTATTTATGCTAATTTAGTTCGTGAGTCCAAATAGAACTGAGGGTAAACCCTAAGTGCATGAATTACAACTCATACACCAATTGAATCAAAACTTGTATTTTGGTGAGGATTCGAACCCATAACAAAGGATTGGATACGGTTTATCCAAACAACTAAAATCTATCCTACCGACCACGTTTTTGTTGCCCAGGAAACTTGAACCATTTTTTTTTAAGAAGACAAAATCTTCACGAAA